CTAGCAGTAAATTTCGTGATGCTTGTATGCAGGCTAAACAAACCCGAGATACTTTTCATTCTTCTATTACACATGCAAAAGATTTATTTAAGTTAACTAAGTGTGATCTTTGAGGACCGTATCGAGTACCATCTACTTGTGGTGCACTCTAATTTCTCACTATAGTGGATGATTTCTCGCGTGTGATCTGGGCGCACTAAATAGGCGAAAAGAGTGAATTTTAGAATGTCCTCAAACGTTTTTTTATCATGGTGAAAAATCAATTTTCAAAGCATGTGCAGGTCGTTCGAAGTGATAATGGATCTGAATTTACTTGCTTGAAAATTTATTTTCTAGACCAAGGATATATATTCCAAACCTCTTGTGTGGACACTCCTCAGCAAAACGGTAGGACCGAACGGAAACATATACATATTTTCAATGTGTCACGTGCTCTCTGTCACACCCCAGACCTATGCGGACACGTCAAAAACCCGCCGTACAATACGAATAGTCAACCGCAGTCTAACTCATCTATATTATGCAAGGCGTCTCGAATATCATTCACACATAAGTCATCCATAAACATACATAATAAGTAATTAAATACGCAGCGGAAAACATAGTTTGAAAACAAATGTCACACGGGGCAAACACGAGCACGCAGGCTCCATAATGAAAAACAATATCCATGAGCATGTTTAAAATGTTCAAAAACAGAATGGAGGAAGCACGAACCAAGTCTTCCCTCCGAGATGATCGCCCGATCAACAAGCACAGGTAGCAAGCTCTAGCCTCAACCTGAAATGGTTGTGGGACGCCCCCTGAAAGGGGGTCAGTACTCTATACGGTTATAAAGTACGGGTGTGGATGGCATCTAATAGATATACAACAAGTATTTCAAACACAAGACCACCAAGTTATCCCTTTTCAAAATATACTTACTTTATATATAAAGTCAAGTAGTCGGCCCGTGGGCCCAAGGTTTGTTCACAAAACATAACCCAACCCTCGTGACCCCTAGTCACGACAATACATTGTTAGAAAATTGATGTAACGTACCTCGAAAGTACAGCAGCGGAAGTTTAAAATTTTCCCAAACAGATCTTCCCTGATTATGACAAAACAACGAATAAAACAATAATAACAGATCTGAGTCTGAACTTACAGATCTTCCAGCCTAGCGGTGATAATCCTTGACCTTAGGTATCCACGTGATTTCTCCTTTCCAAAAGAACGGTTAGATCTCCCGAAGAGAAAGGCTAGGAAATCTCGTCGCAGGGAAATAAACAGGTAATACTGATTCTGAAAACTGGTCTATTAATTATGAAGGAGAAGGATGTATTTATACTAGTTCTAAACTAGTTTCTCAATCACAATGAAAGTCTTCCTAATTAATGAGTTCTAGTCCAACTAGGACCAATACTCATTTATTTAATCAAATAATTAAATAAAATAAATAATCCAAAAGTAAGGGGGAAGTGGGTTGCACGCCACTTTCCACCCTTAAGATCATTATTTATTTTATTTCAACTATTCTAATTAAATAACATAATAATAATGATAAAATAATAATAAGAGAAAGGTTAGGGATGGCAGCAACCGCCACCCTACCTTTACTCTTTATATATTATAATAATTATTATTATTTTGATCTTCTTTTGATAAAATTCCAAATTATAATAAAAGAAAATGCATCTTAATTAAGTATAATAAATCTAATTTATCTTACTTAATTAATTCTATCAAATAGAAGTCTCCTTCAACTTCATGAATTAAATATGTTTAATCTAATTAATATTTAATCCATTTTCAGTATTACGAAATAATAATTATTTAATCCAATTAATAATATTTAATTCCTTCTAACAATTCAATCGAAAGGTATAATCACTTGTTGTGTGACCCATAGGGCCTTATATATTAAGCACTAATCAAATTAAGGTCTCAGCGAATCCCTAGACGATTCTCCAGACAAACTTAATATATAAGGACGTTTGCGAGGACTATTCAAACTCCCTGTAATATAGAGCTCATAGTGATACGGTCCTTTCATTCAACGAACATTCAACTAAGTCTAGAACTTGATATTGTGTCTATTCCAATAACTTAGTCTCTATCTCTCAATCTTTCTAGATGATCCATAATGATCATATTCGATATCCAAAACGAATATATCTTTGCATTGGCCAATGACTTTATGATTCATCTAGATATGAGACGTAGAATGTTCTCTCTTAATCTATTATGAGGAATGAATTCTTTCTTGGCTCAACTACTACTCCATGTGCTTCGTGATGCACCCAACACATGCCGTATCTACCCCGATTGGAGTGCAAGCGTTGGTCATGGTCAAAGTACATCACTCCGCACATGTAGTACGGATTGACCTCAAGTCGGAGGACTATTACACTACTCTATATGCCGATAATCCCATAGACACATGAATAGAACTTATCAAATGGTTTTTCGGTGGGTATGCCAATATTCTCCAAAATATCTATGTGACCATCATGAATTACATGAACTCATAGTTGTGAGATCAACTATACTTTCTAAAAGTATGATGCAGTCAACATACCAATCTTATCGCATATCATCAATATCCCATTCTTGATGATCATTGATTGGGGCTATTTTAGGACTTTATGTTATATCATATAAGCTCCCACTTACTTATTGACAACATAAGTCCAAGGGAACACAATTATGAATAAGATATTGACAATCGAAATACTTAATCATCAATGTGTAATACCGTATATATCAAATATATAAAACTGAATGTGATCAAGTACATATATCTCTAAAAAGTGATTGTCGCTAGGACATATATACTAACAATCTCCCACTTGGTCTAGTGCCAATCACCGATGCGTCTAACACCTAGACTCTCAAAAGTCTAGTATGTTTCTCACATCTCAAAGGTTTGGTGAATGGGCCAGCCAAATTTGTCCTCTACGGGAAGGCATTCTATTGCAACTTCTCATCTTGCTATTTGTTATCAAACACGATAGCATACTGGTATTTTCTAGTTCCTTACTTTGCATCTTGGTTCCTTAGCTTGTGCAAATGCACCGGCACAGTCACAATAACAATTATTGGATAACTGTCGCTAGGAACTACCTCTATTTCCTTAAGGAACTAACGTATCTAAACGCTTACCTATGTTGCATCAAATGCAACAATTTACTAGCCTCTAGTTGTCGAATTTACAATAGTTTCTTACTTGCAACTCTTGCAGCATTACTATTACATTGAGACTAAAAATATATATTGGCTGTGACTCATAGTCTTTCTTATCATATATGAAACTAGTGCTAGAATAATTAAATTCTACTAGTTCTTTCTGTCTATCATGGACAAAGGTATTCATGAATATTTTGGTGACCATTCTTTCACTGAATTCAATGAGGGGACATCATTCTCTATGATCAACATATATGATTATAAAGACCACGCTATCCTTGTTGCGCACTCTAAACACGCAAGCACCCTCATTTCATTTGATGAGGTCAAATGATATGACTTTTTCATTAAAATTAATATTTCAACTCCTAGATGCTTGTTCTAGCCCATAAATAGATTTCTCTAATTAACATATTGAATTAGAATTTGATATGGATATAAAACCTTCAGGCTGTACCATGTACACCTCCTCCTTGAGGTTTCCATTAAGGAAAGGGGTTTTGACATCCATTTGTCAAATCTCATAATCATATTGAGCAGCTATAACAAGCAAAATCAAAATGGACTTGAGTTTTGCAACTGGTGAATAGGTATCACTATAGTCAATTCCTTTTCTTTGACTATAACCTTTAGCCACTAGCCTAGCTTTGTATGTTCTCACATTGCCTTCAGCATTAATTTTCTCCTTAAAAATCATTTTGCATCCAATGGGTCTAACCCAACAGGCAAGTCAACCAAGTTCCATAATTGATTGATACACATCGAGTCCATTTTAGATTTTATGGCTTCTCGCCACCTCTATGAATCAACATCTAATATTGCTTCTCAGGTTCATCCGTATCAGGAATCTTAACATCATCATGATCCTCCATGAGAGGAAGCCTAACCTAGTTAGTTCATGATGAATCCTAGTAGACCCGCATAGTTGAATGTTTTGCGTTTTGTTCAGGCTGTTCATTCTGATTGTGAAGAGGTTCTCTTTCATTGGACTATCCAATGCTTAGAGAGTTTTCTGGTGCTACACTTTTAAGTGTTTCCAGAGAAAGAGAAGTGGGTGCAGAAGGAATGACAACCATGTCATCTTATCTTTAATAAGAATCACTTGCTGGTGCGAGGTGATTCCTATATTACTCCCACTAGCTGAAGGATATCCTCCTAGAGACATTCTTCAAGTCAATTCTCCCACTGAATCCTTCGTCAGACCATCTAACAAATCTTCATTCTCTATGTTACTTCAGCTTTCAATTTGATTAGTGCACATTTCTTTACATATGTAGGGCAACCCATATTTAATATGTGAAGAAAATGTCTTTTATTGTACTATAACTCATATAGTACATTTTGCACTAATCAAACTATTCAGAATGTATGTTGAGATTTATAGCGTGTACCCTCAAAAGAATGTTTGGAAGAGAAAATGAATTCATCATAGATCTAGCCACGTCTAACAAAGTCCTATTTCTCCTTACAGAAATGCCAGTCTTCTAAGGTGTTCTGGAGGAGTTCATTATGACCGAATTCTTTGACCTTTTAAATAAATCAGAAATTTTACTTAAGTACTCTTTGGCTTGTTATCCTTTTTCCTAGAAAAGGATTATTAGTCAAGTTGCTTGAAAGACAAGATTCGCAATTTCCATATGACTCAAAAGCAAATGGTGTTAAATAATCTAATTCATTTAACGTTGCTATTCTTGTTTCATTAATTTGACCAAGTTTGCAATGTCATAGATAGGTAGTAATTTTTCTGATTACTTAATCGAGAACCTTTTATTTTATTCATTTAATATCTAATATGCCGATTGATAATTAACCATTCATAAGAAAAGCATTTCCACAACTACACCATTTTATGAAAATAACAATTATTATTAGCAAAATGGAAACAAAAATCTTTTAATGTCTAACATATGAATGGAAATAATCTTCTTGGTAATAGAAGGAATAAAATAACAATTATTTAATTCTAATCTAAAACCACTGGGCAAATCTAAACTATAAGATCCTATCACGTTCAGCAGCAACTTTTGCTCCAACCTTCACGCGTAGGTCAATTTTACCCAGTCCAACTGCTACACTGCTTCTCAGGCTTCTGCACATTTTTACAAATGTGTAAGCCATAAGTTGTATCTAATACTTTAACAATGAGAGTTAGTTATAGACATATTTATTTAATGATGAAAATACCTGAGCTTGAAGCACCCGGTGCTTTGGCTAGATTAGCCTTATACAGCTCACAATCTCTCTTCCAATGCCCCTTCTTTTTGCAGTAGAGGCAAACATCCTTTGCAACCTTTGGCTTCATGTGACCTCCACCTTTAGGCTTCAGAGTTGTAGGAATAGGTCCAACCTTACCTTTCTTCTTTTGCTTATTCTTGTTCTTAGAACGAGACTTAGCATTAGAGCTTACCATAAGAACAGTCTTTCCTTTAGAGGTTGAGGCTTCATAAGACTTGAGCATGTTATGGAGTTCAGGCATGGTCGCTTTCGTTTTGTTCAAATTATAATTCACAATGAAGTTAGTAAATGAACTCGGAAGCGAATATAGGATGATAGCAGCTGAGACACGATCCTCAAACTTAATTCCGGTGGTAGCAACTCTTTCAATTAAGCCAATCATTTTGAGGACGTGCTCAGACACGTTGCCACCCTCTTGAAGCCTACACTTGAAAATGTATGTCAGAAGTTCATACTCTAGAGTCTGACTTTCTGAATCAAACAGACTTTTCAAGTGTTCAAGCATCTCGAAGGCGCTCATCCTATCGTGTTGCCTTTGCAACTCCATAGACATTGCAGCCAACATAACACACTGCACAGTTTTAGCATCAGTGACGTGTTTCTCTTGAGCGGTCAGATCAAACGTGGCAAACTCAGGAGAGTTGGCATCAGGAATCTTGGGTATCGGTGTGTCTAACACATACTCAATATTTTCTTGTCTAAGAACTAAACGCACATTTCTTTCCCAGTCCAGAAAGTTTGGTCCAGTAAGCTTGCACGTATCCAGGATACTTCTCAATGATAAATTTGACATTCCTAAAAGCCTAAAGAAGTTCAAATAGAACGGAATTAAAATCATATATTAATTCCTATGATCACATCTAGTTAACTAAATAATATGGACTTTTAATTATTTAGCTCCCACTATTTTTACATGCTCTTTGACCCCAATAAAAAGAACATGGATTGTTTTCACAATCATAGTGGCCAAGATCCACATTCATACTATTACAGTCCCAGCTTGGGCTGATCACTGTAATAATATAATGGGTAGGTCCCTAGACCAATTGCGTCCAAGCAACTCTTGGTTGATCAATTTTTAAATTGATCGACATCCCTAAATTAACACTGACGCTTGGGCGACTCGAGCTAATTTAAGTAAGTCAAAACCATCACACGATCACAAACATATGTATCTATAAATTAGTTCTATATTTTGTCGAATGGAATAAACACTTGGGTGAAATATTCTTCAACGAAAAAATATTTCTACTAATTTAATTATGATGGGTGATGTCGTTATCCCAGATAAGACTTAAATTTTAATTTATGGGGAACGTTTAGCGGGTAATAAATTATTTAATCAAGATGTTTAAAACATATTATCAAATAGTATGTTAACGAGATCTAACTCAGACTGATAAATTGAAAGCATGTATTACAAATCTTATTTATAATAATTGCAATACTCAAACAAGAGATTTTAAGATTTTTTTTTTTAATAATCACCTTTCAAAAAATCTCGAGTAAAGAAAATAGCAGGAGGACCTACTCAATCTTATGTTCTATTTAATCAGTTACGAAGTACTGCTATGTATAATTTTGTCTCAAAGAGTTTAAAGGAAAATCAATCTCTAAGATAGATTCCTACAAGGCATCAAACGTGTCTTTTAAATAGAAATTTTAAAAAAATTGCAAAGTAAATCCTCAAAGCATTTCAAATTTCTAAAATTAGCCCAAACCCTAAAATTCCAAATCTTGGTATGGCAGCAAACACAGATAGCAAGGCTTCGCAGCGGGTTCGCCGTCGGCTTGCATCATCATCATTGTTGGTTGCCTTTCTCGTCTGACAGAGGTCGTCTCCATCGCAGCGCAGAGTCTTCTAGTCCGAATTCTCTTTTAACCGGTGTTAGCAATGGAGTGCAGGGGGAAGCCCGTTTGTCATCCGTCTGAGTTTGGTGTAATTCCGGCGCCGCTCGTCCGCCATAGTCGGGTGTCCGCGGAAGAGATAGATATTCGAGAACGCAAAGTATAGACGGTCCAGTTTATATGAATTCCATATTTTATTTTTACTTTCAATAATTTGATTAGACAGTTATAATTGCTATTGGAAATCAAAAGTATGGAACGAATCTAATACTTTCAAATCACATCATGGAAGGTCTTGATCCACTGCAAGTTGTTAGGAGCACAAGTATGGTATCTTCATATATTCATATATGCAGTGGATACGATACGTAAACTTGATTAATTAACTACGTAACTAGATCTCAAAGATCAACTTCAATATCAATTTCGAAAACTAATATTACGGCAAAATATATTTTCAAAAATTTACTCACGAAAATACTAATCAAAATTCGTATAATGTCATTAGAATCAGTTTGGCTCTGATACCACTGTTAGGAAATTGATGTAACGTACCTCGAAAGTACATCAGCGGAAGTTTAAAATTTTCCCAAACAGATCTTCCCTGATTATGACAAAACAACGAATAAAACAATAATAACAGATCTGAGTCTGAACTTACAGATCTTCCAGCCTAGCGGTGATAATCCTTGACCTTAGGTATCCACGTGATTTCTCCTTTCCAAAAGAACGGTTAGATCTCCCGAAGAGAAAGGCTAGGAAATCTCTTCGCAGGGAAATAAACAGGTAATACTGATTCTGAAAACTGGTCTATTAATTATGAAGGAGAATGATGTATTTATACTAGTTCTAAACTAGTTTCTCAATCACAATGAAAGTCTTCCTAATTAATGAGTTCTAGTCCAACTAGGACCAATACTCATTTATTTAATCAAATAATTAAATAAAATAAATAATCCAAAAGTAAGGGGGAAGTGGGTTGCACGCCACTTTCCACCCTTAAGATCATTATTTATTTTATTTCAACTATTCTAATTAAATAACATAATAATAATGATAAAATAATAATAAGAGAAAGGTTAGGGATGGCAGCAACCGCCACCCTACCTTTACTCTTTATATATTATAATAATTATTATTATTTTGATCTTCTTTTGATAAAATTCCAAATTATAATAAAAGAAAATGCATCTTAATTAAGTATAATAAATCTAATTTATCTTACTTAATTAATTCTATCAAATAGAAGTCTCCTTCAACTTCATGAATTAAATATGTTTAATCTAATTAATATTTAATCCATTTTCAGTATTACGAAATAATAATTATTTAATCCAATTAATAATATTTAATTCCTTCTAACAATTCAATCGAAAGGTATAATCACTTGTTGTGTGACCCATAGGGCCTTATATATTAAGCACTAATCAAATTAAGGTCTCAGCGAATCCCTAGACGATTCTCCAGACAAACTTAATATATAAGGACGTTTGCGAGGACTATTCAAACTCCCTGTAATATAGAGCTCATAGTGATACGGTCCTTTCATTCAACGAACATTCAACTAAGTCTAGAACTTGATATTGTGTCTATTCCAATAACTTAGTCTCTATCTCTCAATCTTTCTAGATGATCCATAATGATCATATTCGATATCCAAAACGAATATATCTTTGCATTGGCCAATGACTTTATGATTCATCTAGATATGAGACGTAGAATGTTCTCTCTTAATCTATTATGAGGAATGAATTCTTTCTTGGCTCAACTACTACTCCATGTGCTTCGTGATGCACCCAACACATGCCGTATCTACCCCGATTGGAGTGCAAGCGTTGGTCATGGTCAAAGTACATCACTCCGCACATGTAGTACGGATTGACCTCAAGTCGGAGGACTATTACACTACTCTATATGCCGATAATCCCATAGACACATGAATAGAACTTATCAAATGGTTTTTCGGTGGGTATGCCAATATTCTCCAAAATATCTATGTGACCATCATGAATTACATGAACTCATAGTTGTGAGATCAACTATACTTTCTAAAAGTATGATGCAGTCCACATACCAATCTTATCGCATATCATCAATATCCCATTCTTGATGATCATTGATTGGGGCTATTTTAGGACTTTATGTTATATCATATAAGCTCCCACTTACTTATTGACAACATAAGTCCAAGGGAACACAATTATGAATAAGATATTGACAATCGAAATACTTAATCATCAATGTGTAATACCGTATATATCAAATATATAAAACTGAATGTGATCAAGTACATATATCTCTAAAAAGTGATTGTCGCTAGGACATATATACTAACATACATAGGGTCCAACCCTAAAACATATGTTTGCATTTCTTGAGTCCAACTCAACTACATCACCATGCACCCAATATGACACAAATTAATTACTCCACCGTGCATTTTTTGAGTCCAACTCAACTACATCACCATGCACATCATAGGCTACAACCTCATATCTCTCATGCCTTTCTCGAGTCCAACTCAACTACATCACCATGCATGTCATCAATCACCAAGTCATGTCTACCCAATACAATTCTAGAGCACGGCTCAACTACATCTCCTTACATTGGCATAGACCCCAATTCCTAAGTACTCACTATGCCTAGAATTGTAATATCAATAATCTATTTTGGGATATCCCCACGGACTGCCTCATCATGATCTTACATCATATTACATCAATTTAGTCACTTGCATCACAATCAAGTACATCAATTACAATCAAATCCTTAGATTCAATTCCTTAACAATGACAACAATCATTAACTAGTATTTCAATACTATTAAGATTATTCTTAAAGTAATTGTCCTATATAGGACTAAAAATAAGTTTAAATGCACAAATAGGACCAGATCTTTTTTATTCCCTAAATAGAACTCCGGATTACCATTATACCCTCTTTTTAATTAAATAAAACCTTAGGAATTATCCGCAAGTCCCCTCACGATCTCACGATCGACTTTCTCGTGGCTCTCCCATGACTGCTACCCCATGGCTAGAGCTCTCACAATCGGCTCTTTTTCCACTCTCCCATGGTCGGAGCTCTCTCAATCGGCTCTCTCTTCATCTCTCTTTGTTGCTCATATCACTTACAGCCTATTCTTCCACCATGGCAATCGATTCCGGTCCAGGTATGTCTTCTTCTTCTTCTTCTTCTTCTTCTTCCTCTTCTTCCTCTTCATCTTCCTCCTCCTCCTCCTCTTCCTCCTCCTCCTCCTCTTCCTCCTCCTCTTCCTCTTCCTCTTCCTCTTCCTCTTCCAGCTACACAGTATGAGAGTTCCGGCGAACTGGAACACAGTATGAACACTTAAGAATTTTCTGAGTAGCTGGAAGTGTTTTAGAGCTCAAAAATACGTGAGGAATGTATTCTTGCAAAGCACCAGAATACCCCCATCAGAGTTGGAGCAACTCTGATGCTACCAGAAACAAAAATTAGACTGTATCTTTGAATGATAGATTTTCGGACGACATTCGTGTCCGCAGGTCGCCCACGCACACGAGTCGCGGTGTTTCGTCTCTGTTTCGGGATTTGATCGGCAGCCCCCCCCCCCCCCCCCCCCCCCCCGCGCGCGTAAGAGAGAGCCTTTACCTTTAGGAATCTTAACTCCTTAAAAGAGGCTTCCCTTTATAAGGGGGTGAAAATCCCTTGAGTTTTCCAGTGTGGTATAAAACACACCAGAAACCCATCATTTTCCCAGTTTTTCCATTTCAACGAGTGAACTTCGAGAATCAATTTCTCATTCACCCGTTATCCGTTTTGAGCGTACCATATATCGAATTGTAGCCCTTAACAAGGAAAATCCGAAACCACTTTGACCCGACCCAAATCGGAAGTGGACCCCACTCAAATAATTTCCCCAAAATGACCATTTAATGCAATTTTTAACACATTTTCCCAACAATCCCCCACA